GCGACTCAATAGAACTTCTCCAAAATCAGGCACTGAGCTAAAAAAATGGGGAGCTGTGGACTCACGTACAAATGTTAAGGTAGTGAGTAATGAAAATACCCGCCCGAAATGCCCGTATGGAGCCCCATGATGAACCGCGCCTGTGAGGCCAAGAAAGAGCGCGGTCGGGCGAGTTCTTACTTGTTGGTGCCAGCTCCTTCTCCTTATCACCTCACTCTCACCATTCTAAGTGGAGACAGTCACCAGCGGAACAACCGCATTATCAGGTAGCACTGGAGTTGGGTGGCGCCATGGTCAGTGGGCGAGGCCATGGTTCGTTCGCGAGCGGGCGGCGCTTTCTTCAAGTATTTTTGAGCTGCCAAGTTAGTTATCCTCCACCCCTGCAGGCTGGATAACCGCGCCCAAAGAGGGCGTCTGTACATTGAATGAACGCGGACATGTCTTGGAAGCATAGTTACTGGCTTTGCCTCTGTGCCATTTAAGTTTTTCTATGTTGCATGGCTTTATGTGCTGGAGAGTAAGAGGAAACGATATTGAGACAGGAGAATGGTGTGTTTTGCCTCATCCATTCAAAGAAAGCCGATGTGAACAAAGAGAGTTCCTCTGTGCAGAAAGGTCTCCTGATTTTTTTCGGAACTGAGTTGGTATTGGTTTTCCTAGAACTCTATTCGAAATATTATCGCTAACAACCTTCTTGGATTGCAATTGAATACCCTTCGTGCAAACTGGGATCAACATCTTCGATTAGAGTTCCTGTATTTGGATGGAGCACTCAGCCTGGGGATGATCGGTTGGGCAGATGTCTGCTTCTGGCTCCAGTACAGAGTCCTAGTTGTGCAGGAAGAGTCCCTTGAATGCCCCCTCTCAGGTCATTAGCGCCGACAGAAATTTTGCCGTTTTTTTATGTTATTCTGTGATCTGATCAGTATGTCTTCGATATTGGATTAACGCCGTTTTTCGTTTAGACCATGAAGTTGTTCCTTGTTTTAAGTTTGTTTGCTTTAATAATGTGAATTTTAAGGTTCATGACAAACAGTAGACTGTGCCTATCAATTTCTGACTACCATCCCGAAACGTGGAATCCAGGCTGGACTGTATCATCTATTCTAGTCAGTTTATATGCATAATAAAGCTACCCTATGGCTGTAGGTTGCATATGTATGTGTAGCGTCTACCAGTTTCGTTCAGTGGCTACTGCTGCAAGCCCCGCCCCAACACCCCGCCCACTTCTTAGCGCGGCCGTGGTTTTCCAAATGCAAAGCAGGTTATGGCCTCTCCCGTCACCCGGAACAAAGTTTCCTTTTTTCTGGTCTTTCCCTTTTTTCATTCTATGTGACGGGAGAGGCCATAACCTGCTAGTACGGTCACTAGCTCGCCGATCTGCATCATTTTTGAAAAGTGGGCGGGGCTTCTACAAAGTGGGCGGAGCTTCCATTAGTGGGCGGGGCCGCTTGTCACAGCCTAAAAAAGTGAAAATTCGGAAGAAAAATCAAAATTCCGCGAAAAACGAAAGTGGGCGTGGTCAGAGGGGCGGGGCTTAGTGTGCTAGTGTGTAAATGCATGGCTATATTCGTTTTGTGAAGATTGAATGTGAAAAAACGACGTCGAAAAAAGTTATAAAAAATTCAAACTTGCGTCACTTCATTGAAAGTGGGTGAGCCATATATGGGGGGGCCAAAAAAAAGTCATTCCGGCCGAGTCACATATGAGCGAAGTTTTCGCAGCCAGACAGAGGAAGTGGATATGAGTACCAGGGCGGAAGATACCCAAGATCTTCCTCTATAAGCAGGAGCCGGCTGCCGCCATTCACCTTCATGTACACCAAAATATGAAGTCATCTCCAGTCGCGGCCTGAGTGGAGAACGCCTTTGGAATTCACGTCACCTCCCACATGGCCTCCAAACAGCTGCGGAACTTCTTGAATGGAATCACCCATGGATAGCTACCTGGAGACCAGTACTCTTGATCTGCAAGACCTCAAACATCGAGCAGCTCCGGCAACGTCGCTACGGTCCAGGACATCATCTTCACCCCATTCACCAAGGCGCGGGTTGATGGTGTGGACCGGCCGTACCTGGAATGGAAAGACCGATATTTTCTTTGTAGACCCCGACTGAAGGTGAGCGCTGGCGGTTACATCAAGTAACTCGAGAAGGATATCCTCCCTACATGTGGTCGCCCGTACCTTCTTGGAAACTTTGTACTGCTACAGCATTGGGTGCCACCACATGGAATCGAAGGGTTTTGGAAAAACTCCCGCCTACTTCGAATGGAAGGGCGTTTCGTACCTGATGAAGATGTAATATTGAAATATGTCCCCTGACCTAAACCCACTCAATTACCTAGTTCGGGCGGAGCTCAATAGGGTGGTCTACGGTGGCGGAGAAATCGACTATCTCGCTGATCTCAGGCACCCACTCACTTTCGCGCGGCCGAATCTCTCGATGGCGCTCCTCCAGAAGGCTGTGGCGGAGTATCATTATAGTATTTAATGTGCTCTTTAATATGGTAGTAAAATGTCCGATAAAAATTTAATAAAGTGTAACTTATAGCGCCTTGAAAGTCATGGAGGCAAAATGACTTTTTTTTTTTTGGCCCCCCCCCCTGTATGTGTCCGGCAACACCTACTCAGTTAAGACTGTGTGTCAAGTAGCATAAGTAACAAAAATTCGAAGAAGCAGAATTCATAAAACATTTGGAAAACCACGGCCGCGCTAAGAAGTTTGCGGGAGGTGCTGGGGCGGGGCTTGCAGCAGTACCTAGTGTGGTCTAGTTTTCTCAACTGCCCATTGTAAGGGGTGTGCTGCAGATTGATTTGAAAAGTGTCCTTGTAATTTTGAAAAAGTGTCCGTTTTGGTTTGTAAGTGTGTAAAGTGTCCGATTCAAAGTGAAAATGGTATATATTTGTTTCGTATTGACACTGGAAATTGCTTACAGGTTGGACTTCACAGCTTTATGAATGAAGAATCTCTAGCGACTGGAGTGATCAACGAACCTCTAGCGAAGCGGCGCAAAGTATGCTGCGGAAAGCAGGGCGTGGAATCTTGCGGTATGACATATCTATGTTTTCAAATCACTATGCCCAGTCAACAGACGGGGGTAGTGTAGCGGCACAAAGGGATAGATCAGCGGCGAAGACTTTGTTATATCGCTATTCGGAGAACTCATTACTTGCTCGGCAGATGACTCATATCCCGGAGATAGGAGGGCAATTGGCAGCGCCCTTCCAAAACTTGAACATGGCGTAGGACACATTTTTTTAGCTGATGCGCTGTGGACGCGCTCATTTTTGGCTGTTGGCTCATTCATGAAGTGCCTAGATCACCAAACCCGCAGAAAATTTGTATACAGCAGTTATTTAACATGCTTCATACGAATATGACAGTCATTCTTGGCGCTGGTGCTAATGGAGGACACTATGATTACCTTCTGGGTTCGGCCTTATCAGAGCGCAAATAATCGTAGTATTCTCCATAAGCGTGAGCGCCAAGAATGAGTGTCATGTTCATAATAAGGATGTTAAATAACTCCTGTATCCATGGCTACTGCGGGACTTGGGAATCTAGACACTTCACAAATGAGCCAGTAGACAACTGAGCGCGTCCAAATGGCATCATTCCGCCTTTTTGTGGCATGTTTCCATTTGTGGCTATCCTTCTGTCTTGTGCCGCAAAGGTTGTGACCGCAGTATATCCCAAAACGCGATATTCCACCAACAGGGCATCTGCCGCCGAATTCGACAAATTAGCCACGCCCTACCCTTTTTGGGTATGGGGTGTAAGTACGCGTGTGTGGTCGTTGCCGGCTGATAACCCATACAGTAGTCGCAGACTGTAATTTTCTTGTGCACACTCTCTTTGTACTTTACACCTGTTATTTATGACATATTTTGAATGAATGCTTGTTTTCAGTGTCCGGATTTTAAGAAGTTTTTCCCGTCCGTTATGGAAAAGGTGGAAGCAACAAAGACTTCATCAGCGTCATCATCCCGCAGTAATTCTAAACGAATCAGCTGACCGGCGTGAGTCATGGTCTCGACAGCAATCGGAATAATACGAAAATGCCGGAGCGAAATTTTGTGGGTAATGCACGGGAGAGACGTGCTCAAAAACGTCTTGCTGACCCGAGCGTCTCTGTGGAGCATCAGTTTGTCATGCCACCTCAAGAACAATTGTGAAATCGTAGTAGTGTCCAGATATGTCAGAGGGAAGAGTAAGGTAACTCATATGAAGTCTTTTTCCAGTCTTTTCTTTTCTTTTGAGTTTTGAGAATTTGTTTTGTATCGACTTCTTCTTTTTTTCGTAAATATTCTCTAATACTTTTGAGTGATCTATAACCCAGTTTTTAAATTTAGTCTTCTTTTTCTGCTTTAATGCTGTAGCTTTGGTAAGGTAGTTGCTCCAGTTTGAGGAAATCAGTTTGAATTTTTGGGCGCAGTCGTTTTGATGATGATTCCGGCGCTATCTGGTCTCATTGGCCTGGCATGTGAGTCTTTTGAATATTAATCACGAGCATGTGAGCTGAGCTCATATTAACAAATCATCGGCGTAGCTGGGACCTTCTTGCCGTCCCTTAGTCAAGGGCTTGCGTCATTCGCTTTAACAGCGGGTCCATTTCACTCTATTCAGTCGAGACATCGCTGTAACTACAACAGTGATCTCCTCATTTCCATGGTGGCCTTAGTGATTTGGCACTATTCCCTCAAGTGGCAATTTTGCCCTTTTCATGTGGCCCTATTTTTGGTGAATATCATAATTTGTAGGCCGAACTAGTGCAGTGCTGTTCTCACACAGATTTTAAGCCACCTTTATACTTTGCGAGTGTACTTCATCTATGGTTTCGACGAGTTAGCAGTAGAGGAAAGTACTCTTATTGCCCTGGGAAAACCAAGATCCCGGAGAATCTGCGTCAGAGCATTATATGGAGGCCGATTAATTTTTCCTCACTAGCATTTTTGGAGTATTTGTGAAACGCTATTAGGGTGGAGAGTCAATCAATTCACATATGCTCTCTTATCATAGAGTCTTAGAAATTGCGGATTCTTCAGATCGAGACGTGCACATTCCTTAGTTGCCGATTCTCCGCAATCGCGGATACTCCACACTCCCAGGTATGAACGTGTCCTATAGCGGACTTTTTTTCGATTTTTCAGGCAAGTGTAGCTTTCAATAAAAGGGGACAATTTTGAGGCTAGCTGAGTGTGAGTGTCCACCAGATGCCTTGACATATTCGAGCAAATGTTGCCCCGATTTCCTTGTCAACTCAGTGCTGAAGCTCGTTCTCTCAATTTAAGTTCTAGGCCCTTGACATCTTAAGAGTGTGTTTACACTTTGGACTGATCGCTCGTTATTCGGCGCGTTTCGAGGACCGAACACGAATGCTCGAGGATGGTCATCTATGAATGCCAGTAGTACCGCGCTTAAACGCCTCATCATTGGCCTAGTTTAAGTCGTCCGCGACATACTGTGGACTGGCTCCTGAGGATTGTCGATTGTTAGGGCAACCGCACGCCATTGCTCATAAGCGGCGATCTCGGCAATCCAGTCGCCGAGTTATGAACCCATTCTTATACCTGAGCTGGAGGAGAGAGCTTAGTAGTTCAGTTTTCTCACTAGTATTAGCAAACGTTTAGGGAACACTGTAATTTACCGAAAGATAGTTTTTTCTAGTTTTAGTTAGTAGGTCTATCATTAGAAACGCTATGTTTTTTTTTCATTCTGCCGTTAGATTGTCTTCACGCCTGAGAGAATTATTCATCTAGAAATACCACAAGCCTACGTAATTCGGTGTTTCGCTGTGATGTATTGACGTTGTTACTGGTAGTACGTTGTTGAAGGAGTTCGATGTGTATTTTTTGAATGCCTGTAGAAGGTCGGTGTATGTACACTCGTATCCCGAAGATGAGCGCTTAATCTGAACGCGATGGCGACCGTGTTTTCGGTGGAATCTTATCGCTCCGAAGTGACTCTTATGATTTCTTTTCAAGAACAAGAAGTTGCCCCATGTAGAAAAATTACACCATAAACGGGTCCAAAGTCATCTTCAAGTAAGGAACGCAGCTACGCGCTTTTTATCTTCGAGATACAGCTGTAACCTATGAAGACGACCGATCTATTCATGGTTCAATGTACTGGTTTTGAATTATATGTATTTGTATTAACTCGTATCAGCTGTTCGTATCATTCGCGTAGAAGTTCGTGTTGAGTTCATTTTTACTCTACTACCGTGGTTAGTGGTTTTTTGGTCGGCAAATTGTTTCCTAGGATGATTTTGTTGCGCTTGAGTGGTTGGAGGGGAGATGCTGTGCGGGTAGCGCGATCGTGGCCACGTTGGTCGTCCGCGCTCTTCCTCTGACCGAGGAACTGGTCCTTTCCTTTCCCCGTACTTGGGACCAGTCCCGTCTTAGGCTCAGGAGGGCCGAGTGTCGATGTGGCTGTGTCGCCCCTTCCAACTAGTTAACGCCGCTTTTGATATGTCAGAGGTGCTCGTTAGCATCTACAACTTGTATAGAAAACTGTTAAGAGTGATATGTACTTGTTACAAGAAGTTATTTCCTTGTTTATTTGATACGTGTAAAGAAATCTACAGTAATGAAGATATTTGTTATTAAAGATGTGTTCATGCGACTTGCTCTTGATCTACAATGGTTGATGAATACCCTTCAATACCTTATTGATTTTTTTTATTTTTTTGAGTGCTGATTGGCGCAGGTACGAGATGCGGCAGGGCGCGTTCATGCTTTGCGATACGGTCGCGCTATTCAGACCCTGGAGGGGTCCGATCACGCGATCCAAGCGGTGGAATCGCGAAGTTTGAAGGTGCTTCCACCTGCTGGGAGATGTAGGTGCCGGGGAGGGACCGTTACACAGCGAGACTCAGCTGCAAACGTCCTGTAGGGGTGACATGTTCTTAAGTTAACTATCGGAAACAGGTCGGTGAGAGGGTGAAGACGGGCAGGCTTGACGTGGTCTAGCTTTTGCGAAGGTGGTCGCTACCGAGGCACATAGGGCCGAGATCAGTTGGTTTCATTAAAGACGCTGGGGAAGGAGGGGAGGGGTGGACTTGTCAGGAGGCTGGTTTGGAGCGGAGCCAACCCATTCCCCACACTGTTGAGGCGTACAAGCGACAACAATTTGTAGAAACCGGCTAGCGCCGCGACCTGCTCAGCTATCCCCTCCCCTCAGACACGCCC